CTTCCAGTTACCGAGTTCTGTGAACCATTTTAATGGATCCTACGGTCCCCGATCTGTCGGACACCCTCTTGCACCAGCTAAAGGTCATCAAAGGCGTACATAGTAAGTGGACGGCCGTTGTATCTTCAACTGACAAGATTTTCACCTCACTCACGTACAACCTTATGCGTGAACAACGCATAATTGACTCGGGAGTAAGGGACGGTGATGCGTGGTCTTTGAAAGCTGTACGTTTACGCATTATGACCTATTTTTTTCTAACCTACTCAAAACAACCCTTTTACAATCGTCCATTTTTTGCTGAAACGCCGACTAGCACCTGCAAATAGACTAAACCGGCAGCTTACCTTCTACGGGAAATCTTGCTACTGTCATATTATCGTCATCTACACCCTCGTCGTTCTAGTGATAGTACCATGGAGACGACGGAGTCGGAGCGTCAACAGCGTAGTGGACTTTCTGTGCTTTTGATAGTCACGACAAGCCCTAGTTTTATTTGTCTTGAGACTTTTCTGCAGACGAAGTTCTCATTCGCCATGGCGTCATCCGGACATTAAGTAACTGCCCTGACTCACAAACTGCTCGGCGCATGGTAGTCAGTAGTCTGTCGCATATCCATTAAAAACGTGCGTAGGTGAAAAGGAGGCCGAATCCGGGTAGACCGGTCATCCAACTGATGTGACCAAATCCGTTTCCAGCACATAAGCTAGAAAAACTATCATGAATTGCGCCTGGCTGCTGAGCTTACCTAATTTCCTTTGTTTCTCTCTTGTTGCCTGTTCTGCTAAACCCGCCCTTCGGTCGGCCGCTGTGGTTGGCAAGGGACCATCTTTTAATGTGTTTGAATTGTCTACTTACACGATTTAAGTAGAAAGAATTTCACTGTGGTGCTAAAGCATCTGAGGGAAAGAGCCTGGTGGACGTAGAACGTCTGCCCTTCCACTACCCGTCAATTTCTACTGTCTCCCTGTGTTGTTCTTACCGACGGAATAAATTTATTTGTCCTTCCGCTCAGATCCCAGACTATCCACCGGCCTCGCGTGCCCTTCTTCAGGGCGATGTTCAAACGGCCGCCAAGTTGGCAGCCGCCTTCCTCATCGAGAGCGATTTCGACAGAATGGAGGCCCTCCTGAATGAGGCCAGCGACTACGTCGGAAGTTTCGAAAAATCGGTAGGTTCTCGTGGAAATCATTGCCTGCAAGACCTAGAAGTCTCATTCTCTAAATGTCCCGTCCTACAGCGTAGTTCAGACTAGACCCCATGTTGGCACAGTTTAACTGACTTCATATTGTCGCTGACGTCCATGATGGTTTCAAGGATGCGTTTTCAAACACGGGTTCTATCTCTGCCTATACCGACATTGGCAGTTCCAGGCCCCTACCCTCTTCAGTTTCTCTCGCACCTCTGAAGAATTGTGATTTACGTCTACGCAGGAGATACTTGACACGTTGTAGACGAAGGAGCAGAAATCCCCGCGACGGAGGCCGTCCCCCTTCACTGCCCTCTTCTCCATTTTTTGATCCTTCCTTCTGAAACTTCTCCCCTAACAGCCATATCCACCCCTCCTACAGGTGAGCCGTCTGGTCGCCATGCAAAGCCTGCAATTGCAGCCGAACACCCCAGCCAGCTCTCCACTGCCGAAGGCGGGAGGTCGGCGTCCGGGTCATGGAGAGGCTCAGGCCGAGATGCACCTCATCTCCTGGTCAGCCCTCGTCGGCGAGGCCAAGGCCCTGCTGGCCCGACTGCTTGCCGACATGGATTTTCGTCGCGGCCTCCTACGTTACATTGCCAAGTGCGTTGTGGAGTCCCCGGCGCGCGGCGACTTTGACGCACCGCAGCGCGTCTGCTTCCTCTGGAGGCAGGCTGTAGAGGCCGTCAGGTGGGAGAACTTCCTCGAGCTTGCCAACCATTTGGGCGCCTGACTGGTGAAGGAGTATGCCCGTCAGGAGCCGACTGGAATCCTCTTCTACCTTGACTCTTTTCTCTGTGAAAATCACTTGTACAGAGGCTGCTGGAGTGTCTGCAATTGAATGTCAGCCGAGTGGTGACCACTGTGTACCATTTTGCATCGTAATTGTATAAAAAGCGATTGTTTGAGCCTGAAATTTCCCTTCTGTGCATTCTCGGTACCAGAGTAAGGGCGAGAGAAAATCGGGTATTAGGAGTCAGTCGGATCGGTGTGCGCCTATTCCAGTATATATTTCTCTCGAAGTATATATATATATAGCAGCGAGCAGGGACGACAGAGAATGCGGGTAGGTCGATACAGTACTGTTTCGGGCTTATTGTGCCTTCATTCAGCCAACCATAACCCTGACCAGCACCTGGGACCAGAAACACAAACATGCACACAGACGCACCTGGCGCAGTTGGTCCACCACTGAGGCCTGCCAGATGGGTCATAAGCACTTCATCGAACCGAAGTTCATCAGTGCCTCGCCACCTGTCATTCTCTGTCGCTGCAGATCGGGCACTTATTCACTTAGGAATGGGCGCACACCGATCCGTTGGCTTCCCGAAGCAAACAAGCTTCGTGTGGGCGATAGGGGTCACGAACAGGCAACCGCCTACCAGGCTGAAGTCGGCCAAGCTATGATAGCAGAGCTCTGCTATCATGACGTGCTAAAGGTTGCGGTTCGGAGGGTTGCCAAATGATGGGTTAACTTAGTCGCGAAGAAGGGGCACGATAGCCCGAACAAGAGCTCTATTAGCCTGCCGTTTCGGATTCTCTCTCGAAGCCCTCAACAGAGTGGTAAGTTTCCCAGGTGTTGCAGTATTTACAGGATGTAGTTGCTAGACCGCTACATGCCTATCGCAATTGACTAATAAAGCTCTTGTTCCAGCGATCCCGTCTCCTTCGCGACTACTTCTTGGAGCTCGCTTCTTCGCTCCTATTCGGAATAACTCGGTTTTTCTCAGGGTTGAGAGTCAGGCTCAATGGCCCTACTGTGCGGACCGCATGGCACTGGCACTGATGTGAACTCCGAGCAAGCCTGAGGGCCTGGTAGACACGGTGGGTCATGTGCTGCACGCGCAGACCGACTGCTCATTTTTGTCGGCGACAGCACCCACGCCCACCTCCGGCAGTCTTGACATTGTCATGCCATTGGAGCAAATTGGCTGAGGGGGGAGGGTAGGATAGATGTTGCTTCAACATAATGTGATTTGTGTCCAAGCCACCGGCGCTGTGCCGATTCCGTTAGGCGTCGTCGCTTGCGACGGTCGAACAGTCCCGATCGAAACCTAACGGCAACGAGTCCGTGGCTCAGTGGTTAGAGGCGTTAAACTTCCAACTAACAGGTCGCGAGCGTTAAAGACTAGGTCCATGGAAGGATCGTGCAACATGGTACTTGCAACTTCTAGATCTGAACCCCTTGCTTGACCAGTCAAAAAGAATGTAGCATCAGTCTCTGGGTACTCGAGGATGGGCCGGACGCACGCACTAACTAGGAGTGCCGGATTTGGCCATAATTGTATCAGCAGGGGTCTGTTTCGGAAACCGCGTCCCCACAGACATTACCCATGCGATATTTAATACCCAAGAACCGGATGGGTGATAGCCGCAACTTTAGGCACGCAACAGCGCTGATCACAAGCCTGGGAGGCTGGTGGGCGTCCCAGGACACCCCATACATGAGCCCAAACCTCCCCAAAGTCGTCAAATGTATCATTCGTCAGGCATGGCTTAAATCATCGTTCACGTCGCCAGCGACCAACATGGACGAAGCAGTCCCCAAAGAGAAACGTCGGTAGCCGGCCGGAGCGGAGGCGACATTAAAACTAAGAATTTCCCACCCCAACTTCTGCAGCACTCAGCCCGAATAGCCTGCGTCCTGCTATGGACAATATTCAAGCAAATGGGAAACTTAAACTGGAGCCCCGAAAGCCGTTGTCATTCACGAGTCGCCAGCGTGCGGTAGCCCACCTTCATCCTGCTGCCCCGCCGTTCTATCAGAGCCGTATCAGTTTTATTCCCCGTCGCGTTTCTTACATCCGCCACCGGTAAATACACTGTATGGGGCCTGGGGTCGTTTACCGATTGGTCGGCGCCAGTCCCCGATGGTCATATGCCTCCGCCAATGTCCCTAATTTATGCATCCTGTCTTAAAACGCATTCGGTAGGCGTTACCACCCTGACTTCTGTCTTGGGTGAGTCTTAATGCAGAGGATAGCAATCGACGTCCTACCAAATATACCTTTTGAAAGCTTTTCTTGGATTTTCAGAGAACGCCAAGAAAACAGCAAAGGACCACGCCTTCTCCTCTCTTACACCTAAGAAGTCGATGAAAGGCATAAAATAATTCCATACTATAGGGGGTTTTAATCTCAAAAATAGGGCGCAATGAAGCAACCAGAACTGACAAGTCTGGACGATGTAGAGTTCACGTTTTGCAAAAGGTGATGAGGGTCCCTGGCCGACTCAATTTCTCTCCATAGGTTTGCATGAGTTGTAGTGTTCCCCGAGCGAGAATGCGTGATGATGATACCTGCAAGGAAAAAAAGATCACATTAAATGAAGTATAAATGTGCCAGCACAGTTTACTGGATGAATCACAGTCCTGTCTTTTGATGAGATGCGGGGCCTTCACTCGATGACGATGGTGATAATGATGGGGAGGGATGATGATGATGACGACGATGATGATGATGATCCCAGATGACTTACTGTATCAGATTTGGTGGATTCCAGACGTAGCAGTAAGTTGGGCGGGTAACTTGACTCAAATGTGTTTAAACTCGCGTCGTCCGGCGGGGCCTCGTAGCTGAAGTGATTAGAGCGTTGGCTATACTAAAGCCTTCCCCTTACTGCGTGGGTTCGAATTCCACCGAAGCGCGGGAGTTTTTGACAGTTGGGTCTATATGAATTATTCAAAACCTGCCAAAACATCTATGAATTACGTGAGCCTGGTAGTCATCTGGTGGATTCTAGGTGAATTACTTAGGAAATCCTGCCTGAACAGTCAACTTACTGTATCGAATTTGGTGGATTCCAGACGTTGCAGTAGGTTGGGCGGGTAACTTAACCCAAATGTGATTAAACTCGTGTCGTCCGGCGGGGCCTCGTAGCTCAAGTGGTTAGAGCGTTGGCTGTACTACAGCCTTTTCCTTACTGCGTGGGTTCGAATCCCACCGAGGCGCCGAGTTTTTCACAGTTGGGTCAATATGAATTAATCTGAAATTCCTGATGAATGGATTCGTAGGGGTCGACTACTCCGTCTACAAATTTCCATTGTAACCTTGTGCTTTAGACGTTATTGACAAGGATCGTGGAGGGTTTGTTAGTTCAAAAAGCAACGCATGGAACAAGTTCAATCGGAAAAAAGGTTGAGGTTAGTTCAGAAGAAGGAAGAGTCCGTGATGCAAATAAACAGGGGTTTCCTCGGCCCGCCGTCGGGAATTGGCGAAACCCAACCATGGAATCTTGCTCATTCGACCTGTGACTAGCGCGCGTAAAGCGACACCTTTTCCCCATATATCTCCTGCCAGGAGCGAAGTAGACAAGTAAAGAAACTAGTCTCAGAAGGTTGCTGTTACGTCAGTCTGTGGGTAACAATGTCACCTCTTGGCTCATGGACCTCCTACTGGTAGGTCTAGAAATGTACTCGTCCTATTAACCCCGAACTGTAATATTTGTGACTGTGCGTGCTTGGCACACATACGAAATGTTAAGCAAGTTGGTGAGCCAAATCTAATCTCTATTCCGTGAGGCGTGGCGAGGAGAAAGGGGGGGAGAGGTGGGTCAATGACCTTAGTAGACGAAGTTAGAGTGCGCGGCCTTAGTCCTGAACACTGAGTGTCATTCGGTGCTGGTAAGCTTTTTTGCACCTTCGACGGATATGCATGTCTAAAAGAAACTTAGATAATAAGCGGATAGCTTCTGAGATCGCCACTTCCCAGGGAGAAGTATTTGGAAGTCGGCAGGTGGTGACCAGAGGGCGCCATACGCGGCCCGCATCAAGCACGCTTAGCGAATTTTTTAGCCAACAACAAATAAGGAATTGGAGCAAAAAGCACCAAACAGAGGCGACGCACGTTATGATAAGGGGTGACTGGTCCGGGAAGTTCCCCACAGTGAGCGGTGGACCTTTGACTTGAATGACCTCAATCGGAAGCTGCAGCGCCGAGGAGAGGGCTGAAAGCTGAGGGAAAAGAAAACAAGCTGCGAGTACCGTTCAGGCATTCAAACGCTCAACTGCTTGGCGGCATTTTCGTACCAGCCAGCAGACTAAAGTGGAGAGAAAGAGAGAAATGTTTTCAAAAAGGCTGGGACGATAGGCTGCAGTTGGAATGGGGGCAACGAAACCTGTCGCCTAGTGATACCTACACACTAGCTGCTATAAGACAGTTGGTTTAGCCGGCCTCCGAGTCCAGGACTCACAAATCGACGCAGTCCATGGCCTGGGAGTGTTAGCTAGACCATCAGCGCGAACCCTGTCCACATGCCATCCCAGTCAGAAGACCGAGAATTTCCGGGTCAAAAATCCCGAGCAGATCTGATTTAACTATAACCGTCGACTTTTTGGATGATCACTACAGTCGCGGTGGCGACAGCGCCAACTCCAACAGGGGATTTAGCAGCGATGAAGTCCTGAATGAGCTCCACTGTGGATCGGAAAAACGGTATGAGAAAACCATCGCGATGACGATGCTTAACTGCATCATTAGCAGCCAGGGCCCACAATCAGCATCAGAGACACATACGATACAGGGTTCGTAAGCCGAAGCGATAGTATTCACCGGGGGCAGTACCTCGGGACCAGGTTTAACGACCTCAGACACCGTTAGCTCTGCTTGCTGCTAAAACTCGCGACGAGACCACGAGCACTGCCAGGGTGGACAGAACATTTTAGACGCGAGTTGTACCCAATGATCTGCCGATAGACGGAACAACTGACAGACTTGAGCCATCAAGAGAGGGATGGTTTTATGAGGCGTAAAACCGTCAGGCAGAACTTTAATTGACGAATCTTTCTGTCTTAAAAAGAAAGTTTTTAGAGACGGCAACTTTTCGAAAAATAGCAAACTACATCTTCTCGAAGGAGCTTCCAGACAGGACGGCGTCGTCAGAGTCCAAGAAGCAAAGGTAATGCCCCATCCAGACAACCCGCCACAGTCGTCGAGAGCTGAGGATGGAATCGCGTCCACCGCACAGCAAAAGAGGACTGGCGAAAGGACGCAGCCTTGTCGGATGCAAATGAAGTATTTGCTTTCTTCAAACGTAAGCTCTAAATTTTTTTCACTCGAGTTGATAATGTGCCTAGGTGAGGTTCATGAGTTCCTGAGTCCTTTCTAAAGAGCACTTCTGTCGACTGAGTTGCATGCTAGAGGAAAACCAAGGAAACAACTAATTGCCAACCGTTGAAAATAGCGTCTTCATTGCAGATTTCGTTGTAGAATGTCTAACGAGTACAACCTCATCCATTACGAAAGCCGACCTGGTTTTCCCTGGAGGAAGGGAAACAGTTCAGGAGGAAGCGTGCGAGGATTCTCAGGGACGCCGATTGGGTTGATGCCTCCACAGTTGTGACATACCGTCCTCTTCTCCTCCTCCTCCTCCTCCTCCTCCTCCTCAGAAATAACCCCTGAATTACTGTTTTAGACAACAAATGGAAGTTCTCCATTATCCACCGCTCTCTTATTTTAAGGGTGCTGGGTAACCGCTTAAACGGCCAGATGAGATCTTAAAGCGCACGCTTTCCGACCGCAGGACGGGAGTGCTCCTCACTCTGCTCCTACATTTTTAGGGGAGAGGGTGGCTGATTATGAGGGAGGCGTGGACACACATTTCATCCCTACAAGCTGTCTTGAGTCGGACACGGGGATATAGATCCCCTCCCTAGGATTAGAGGTGGCTTCGAGCCAAACTCCAGGAGTACCTATTCCCGTGTCTTAACTTTAGCCCTAACACTGACTCTCACTACCCCAACCCAAACAACAATCCCAGCCTCTCCTCCCCCTCCCCCCTGGAATTCGACACAAGCCCCCTCGTAATGTGGGGGGGTCCATATTCTCGTGGCCAACCCAGTTTTACAGCCAGCAAAAAGCACTCTCAGTGGCATGACGCGGCGGTCCACCCGGCATAACGAGGCGCCAGAGAGAAGGGGGATGGTCAGGACGCAAATAAGGGATTCCAGGACATCCGCGTCCGACCAGTAACATGCTGTCTGGCGAGCAGTGAGCTCCTTAGGCCTGACGGGGATTTTATCAGACTCGAGGTGTTTCGGATGTGGCAAATGAGCAGAGCGAGCCACATTAGCGCTTCTGCTTAGATGCCAGTTTTGGAGATAAGAAGTACGCACACGGCCTATTTCATGCGTTTTCATCAGAACTGACACAATACACCCCCAGTTCGATGGCATTTCGCTGTGGAAAGTCCAAAAACGCAGTCCTCTGGTGCAAGGACAACACTGCTAGGTGACAGTATCTGTAAGCTTACCTCAAGATGACCACCCCACGTTCCAGGCTTCGCCATGTCCTTCAAGTAGGCCTCAAAGACGTCTGAACATGTGGTAGGAAAGAAAAAAAGACAAGGGGGCCTCAACATAGGCAATTCGGTGCATTGGAGTGCTAACGGAAAAGAAATGCAATGCACACTCACCATCCGAAGATTTTCCCTCGGAGTCTGGAGTGGCAGCAGTGTCACACATAAAGGGCAGAAATTCCTCAGGTCGTCGCCTCATCACAGCGATCGCGAGTCTGCGGAGGTTGTGCTTCGGTGGACAGTCAGTGTCACAGGACACATCAAACCGCTTACAGGCCTCCCAGAGGACAGAAGAGAGCCCCCTCTGATCCAGTTGGTGGGCCAAGGAGGCAAACAGACAGTCGCCATCGGATGGAACCTTAAAGGGGTCAAGATTCTTATTAGTAGTGCTAGTAGTATTATTCCAAACAGCAGAATCAACAGTACAGGTACTTCTTGTCTCGTGAACCAACGGAGGGGCGCCTGACTCGGCCCTGAAAGACCCAAGGAGTCCGGCATCGAGCTAAGGCTCCCTTCAGTCTGCGGCACAGGTTGCCTGACGAAGGGAACTGAGTCAAAAATCGATTTCGCTTCCGTTATTTTGTCCTACTACTACTACTACTACTACTACTACTACTACTACTACTACTACCACTACTACTACTACTACCACGTCTATTAAGACCTTCAAGGGAATCGAATGTTGCCCTCGAGTATACTTAAACAGGTCATTTTGCCCGCCCTCAGGCGTACGACGAGGATTGTGGGGCACCCTTCAACAAGGATGTAAATCTGCCAAGAGGAAATAAATAGCCCAGTGAACAAAACACACTGGACCATCTATCGTCGACACGAGTGCCTGCTATTAGCTCCCCACGACGTTTGGCGGAAAACGCAGATTCGAGTGAAAGCAACCTTTCTGTCCTCCTGCGCATGAATGGTCTCATGAAACTCCGGATTTTTACAGTGAACGCTTCTGTGGAATACAGCGGTTTTGACTGACTGAATGTATTTTGAAAGTTGGACACCATTGACCGACTAACGCTGCCTATTATTGGCGACAGGGAAACATTGCAGTTCCAGACTGTTCAGTCATGAATTGCATCGATCCAAGGAAGTTGAAAGTTTTATGTGACGTCTGGATTCGGTGCCAGCTTCGTGATTAACTAAAAACGATGGACAGATGTGGTGAAATTAAACTAAGGCATTTGGGCATGACAGTCTACGCCTTTGGGGACGCAATTTCAATTATACAAGGACCACCAATAGCTCAAAATAGGTCATTAACGTATGTAGTCCAGGCATTCGCCCTGCGTCCAATATTGAAATCTCGCAATGGCTATCAGTAGCTCACAGCTGTCCACAGTGTTTTATTTGATCTATTGCGAGCCCTTGTGGTAGATATTGAAGTCAGATGATAGACCGGTAACATTCACCATTATGATCGCTCCAACACGATGCGAGTTTAAGTCCACTATACTCCCAACCGCTCGATCTCCGGCCTGGAGCACATCCTGTTTACGAAATTTAATATCGAATCTGCAACAAGACGCTTGTTTGCTGAATTTGCTCACGCAGACAACATCAGCCTGCTGACACCAGGCTATGATGGCTTACGGAAAACAGCGTTTCGGGCGGACGAGGTCGCCAAATCAGTCGTTTACTCGTAACCGATGTGAAAAGCAAAATATTTTCTGGGCGAGTGCCTGGTTGGGGGAAGGCATTCCTCGTGACTAATGGTTGTCAGTTTGAGGAACAGGACAGAGGCCACGTTTTTGACAGACCGGCAGACAAAGGTGACATCATTGACCGAACTTATTCTAGTTATAGTATTGCTGCAAGCCTTCAAAGGTATGTATGAACCTGTCGTGAAAGCCCCGTCGCAACAAAGATTTGCCTGTATTGGGCATCCGCCATGTCAGCCTTTCAGTGCGGTTGTTAATACCGGGCTGTGAGGTTGGAAGACCAACGAAAGCTAGGGGTTTCCGACTGCCGTTATTCGAGAACCATCCGTCGAGTGAAGTACGTTAACTTCGCTTCAGATGGGAAAGTCCGCAATGGCTGCGAATTATGGCATAAGGTTAAGTAGCAGTCTGACTGAGAACATCATATGGCAATCTTTGAGCTGAAAACTAGGACTGACCTTATGCAGAACAAGGTTTCGTTTGGCAAGGACCTCGGCCAGCTGGGCGAATTCCACACCGCTAGAAGAGGTCTGATATGTGGACCGGCTTTGCGCAACTGCCTCGGCCAGGGCCCTTTGCTCTGCGGCAGCCTTCTCTCGACGACGAGCCGCTCGACTCTGACGCGTTGTCGCCGCTGCTGAGACTGGGGCTTCACTGTTTGCTTCTGTGGTATCAGTGGCGGCTGTGGTCGGGACGGTGTCAGCTACATGCAGAAGCGGACAGAGAAATTAGAGTAAGTTGGCACATTACACTCAACCAAAGGACAGTGAGCAGGCGGCCAGCAGGTCCCCAGTGGCGGCCACGGTATCGGGAGCGGCAACACTCTGGCACTGAGCAAGTTCTGCCTCCTGTCGGGCGGCCAACGCCTTTTCGAGCTGCTGAATCTTGGCGATGGCGGCCGCACGTTTTTGACGATCACCCTTGGGGACTCCCTTCTTTATATTTTGGATCCTCGCTATAGGGAGAGGATGGGATGAAATGACAGAACTGACCTTGAAGGTCCTTTTTTTCCTTACGATGTCGCGCTTGAACCTGTTCCATGCTAAAAGACAATGGAAATACTGGGGCTAGAGTAAGGAAGTGGAGAAAAAAGAGCCAGTTCAGCACTTGGGTACGACTGCTGTCTGGGGACGATGATTTAGCTGAAAAAAATTTTCAAAATGCGAACGGCCACTAAATTCAATGAGTTTACAGTTAACGCATTCCAAAAAAGACATATGAAGGCCCGAGGGGGCAAAACAGAAAAGTGGACTAAAGTGGTAGTAAGTATAACGAAGTCCACACCTGTGGAGACCAACAGTTCGCACGCCAATTCAGAGGACGCTCAGGCGGAAAATTCATGCGTGAGACTACCTTTACGACTATGCTACCCCCTGGAAGATATTGTATCAGAAACGGATTCTGGTCTCAGATTCCGCAACTGGATAGCAGGACCCGTCCAATTTCGTCACATTATGATGCAAAGCCACGCATGTCACGCCCAGGTCATCAGCATTGCAAGAATTGCATCTAATCTAACGCCAGTTCTAAAATGGCGACACCGACGCAATGGCTCTTCTCTGAGGACGTGTATAAAACAGCCGGGTCCTCAGACGAAAGAATATAAAAACGACAGAATCTTCACCCTGTAAGAGTCTGATGATCATCAGGGGAGTTCATGGGAGACGTGAAGTCTTGCCCCATAAATTAGATAGTTGCGCATTCGGGGGAGCCGATTTCTGATAAGAACAGTGATGTAGATTTCATCGAGGAGGTTGGAAAACGCGACATTTCGCCGGCCCACCGAAGCGGCTTTCAATGCTGTTCCAGCTCTTAACTACCTGATGAATACAGGATTTCCTGATAGCTAAACTTATCCTTATTAGTTAGGACTGCCGCATACCGGACGGGCACAAATGCCAGGAACGGACAGTCGTGGGGTATGCATCGATGTGTTTGGGAATTTGTTTAGCGAGCGCATTACCTAGGAAAGATCATAGGGATAGGACAGTGGCACCGCATGACGATGGGTATAACCACTCTCAGCACAACCGCTTCCGAAGGAGAGATGACTCGTTGCAACAATCTCCTTTGTCAGCACGAGATTATGTGGCTTGTACAGCTATTGTAGGAGACCCGCAGAGGTTAGTTACTCGACTACCACAGGAAAAACCGTCACAGATTACGCAATCTACTTTGTTAACCATCTTGTGCTTCTCGCTAAGACTGGTACACAGTCCTCTCCGCACGTCAAAGAGCATTTAATAGATGGCTGAGCGTGAAGCAAGTGAACAAGCTTTGTCATCCGACAGTGAAGTTTTAATAAAACTCTTGCCACGAACGAAGCTTGCAGACCACTCCTGCGAGCGGCGTAAAAATGCGCCTGAACATAAGTTCAGAAAAGAGTACACTCATACAGATGACGCATACCCCGGTAGGTAATACAATTTTGGGTCCTAGACCTACGGTTGCAAACCAGTCCAAGCATAGAAGTAACCCTGAAAACAAAGACTCCTGGACAGGTCTGAGAACAAGGGGCCCCGTGAGAAGGTAGCAGAAAGCCATATTTGCGGATGGTCCAGTAGTAATACACTTAGTTTACTCACTAAATGTGCGTAACTAATAGGAAGTGTGTACTCTACATTTACTGTTAATGCTGATGAATGCACAATGTTAGACTATGAAAGGACAAGATTGTACATTTTTGGCTAGTCTGAAAGAAAAGAAGGCATGGCGAGAGCCCGTATCAAGAAACGCCAAAATCGTTGCTTCGCCTACGTCGATTGAACTTTACCCAAGTTTGATAATATTGTACAATACGAATTTCGGTGTTTGTTATAAATCTAAAGAAGTCCCACAAACAGATCCGTCTGTTTGACATGCGCGCAGGTTGCAAAATTCTGACAATCGGCTGACCAGCACAACCCGCAAATATGGTTTTCTATTGCATTTGTCGTGGGTTCCTGGATGTCATGCTGCTTCTCTACAGAAATCTGCACGGGTGAGATTTGAGAACAAACACTAGGTCTGTGTATTTGTCCAGTCATTTTTTGTGTAGTAAGATGAATAACCGGAAGCTGGACTCCGCGTCCACCTTGGGAAAAGCTTGTGTAGACGGCCCATTTGAGTGTGCCCAGGATGCCGGAATGCCGATATGGTTGCGGAAGCCGTTGACACTAACTTTAGACACCAATCAATAAGCGCCGTCAAATAAAAATCGACAAGGCCAGGACTCAGTTCATGCACTCCGGCAAACAGTAAAACGCACTATCTGTTAGGAAATTTGGAAACGGCCTTCCGGATGACGTGTCTGCACGGGAATAGTGTCAAGAAAGTTTTCCCTGTTGATAACTACACTCTTTTTGCCAAGGTATTCCATGTCTGCGCGGTCTTGATGTGCAACTTGCACAGCCCCTTGTGCTGTGTTGTAGTAAACTCTGTCGAGGTCTAGTGCACTAGACCTCGCCCCATTGGGCGAATTAAAACGAATCTGAGAATTTGCGGACCTGCGAAAATAGCTAGACGAGGCATAGCCCAAACTATGCGCTCATTCTTTGCAAAACGCTTCCCAACATAATTAGCATTTGTTTTTATTTCATTACTTTTTAACTTTTATGACGCGGCAGTTTGGGTTACGTCTACCTTTCCACTACTGGTTACATTACAACAAAGTTGCTGACATATTATCGTTATTTTTTACTGAAACACGACATACCCTCACAGCAAATTCTGATCCACGAAGCGAAAGAAACTTCAACGTATTTAAACATAAGGTTTACCAAACCAAGCCAAGCGCGATAATCCCCATGTGGACGCTATTCTTGGATATATCTCTCTGCCAGGATCTGTGGCGTTGATAAATGCAAAAATAACTTCTAAACAAAACGCATGTTATTCCTAGCAGAAAATGTTAGCATTACAGGGCGTTTTCATGCCAGAAAAATGTCCGTACGCTGACCAGTTGAGATACTTGCACGGTATAACTCAGTTAAATGTCAGTCCCACGACCGCGACTGGTCTACAACTGTCAAGCAGTGAATCGCGTAGCTGGCACACTGACAGTGCGTGTGTACACGAAAGCGGTATCAACATGGTGCGGCGGCCTGACAGCAAGCGCCATCGATTTTCGCACTCACTACCGCACAGCAGGATAAGCTGGCGATCGGCCAGTTCGCCTTTATAACGTACGGCTGCAAGTGCAGTGTTGGTCCTGGCTTCGACCCGAGTTTTTGAAGTGGCATGGCATGATGGCGATATCTAGCTGTTTGTTTACGCTTTGTTTTCATGTCTATAGAACTGCGTAAATGTTCCATGGAGATGCGATAAAATGTCATGGAAGGCGTATCGCGCGACAAGAATTGATGTCGAGAAGTGAAAAAGTCGCTACAACAGTAGTGGACTCTGAGGTTGTTGCTCCTTCTGAAATGGCCTTCGTCGACAGACTCTGAATCAGAACCTTGATGGTACCGTCCATCTCTCATACGCAATGATCCGAGCAAGGCTGGCGTATGTAGTAAAAGGGGAAATGTTAGTGATAACCGTGTACTGTGCGACGGAGAACAAACAAATGGGGCCAACAAAATAATCAAATGGGGATAATAGATAGTTCGCCGTTGAGAATCCGGGAGCAAGGTGTTTGCATGATCCTCACTCTCGGTCGCACTTGGCTCTGTGGTCAGGAAAAGAAAGGTATGCCCTGAATCTAACCTTTTAAATTCCGCCTTTTCTTCTTCAAACAAAAGCAATCCTGCCCGCCGTCACACGGCACTCATAATTTTGCCAGTAACGTTTAGAGATTTAGTGCAGTTAAACGGTACGACTTCGTGCCCCAATATATTGTTCATGTAGTAATATTATTTATGGCGTGGTCATAGGACCTGGTTGACATGACACACAGTGACCCGATTCTCCTGGAAGTTTTATTCAAAAGCACTATATTTCCATTTATTGTGATTGATTCTGCGATGATAAGACGTATTCTCTTCAGACCGCAAGGTCTTGCCGATCTGGTTTTCACTCATGTTGTCTGTCTCTTAAGCCCCGCACAGACACCCTAAGTCAGAATTCCTCCAGACTCCTTCAGCAATTACGGTTTCTTAATCGTTCACGACTCCACTTCCCATATTATTGTCTCCTGCTATCTTCCGAACTCTTCCACCCGTTTCGGCATTCAGGTCACCGTTTATTCTGATGCACATCGTAGTCTACGGTCTCAGCTCGCGGGCAATGTAGGATTTAAAGAGATCTAGTGGGCCAATAGACTGGAATTATTTTTCACGAAACTTCTGCAACATTGACGAAGTGCATTCTAGTGCATCTCGCCGGGAATTATGACTATGTTACGCTTCTGTGGGCTTAACCTCTATATTCTCAACGTCAACAAAGAACAAATAACCGACGAAATATATGGAAGACAGATCTCATCCTTGTGAAAAAGTTCTTGGTATTCGTGGATGATGGCGACTTTGCACCACCCGGATTTCACTTGTTTCGAATAGACGGAAGCGGACGCTTGGGAAGAGGAATGCCCACGCATGTGGAACGCGGATTCTTCGTGGCAGGAAAAGCATAAATGCTCGCATGGGACACAGAGGCCACCTGACTCATTAAAAAGATACCGGGATCGAAAACCGGGCATTTCTGTCGGTCTACTGTCAACTAAAAAATGTTCTGGAGCTTGATGTTCATCTGCAAGAGGAACTACACGGATTTGCTTCTTGGGATGATATCTTTATTATGGGCGACTTTGATGCACCACTCATTGACTGGAGTACTGTTTACGCACGATCTCCAGCGCCCGCCTTTGACCGACGCCCGTAATGACCATATTCGTATCCAATGCTTTCGCAGATTGACTTTAAAAACAAATTTGCAGACATTTGCAATGTGATCAGATCACAGTACAATCGTAATGGTATGGGAGAGCATCTGTTCACTGTAAGTCAGTGCGGAAAGATTGTGTAGGACAAAGTGCTTTTCAGCGCTGGCAGCGAGTAGTCTTGTTGCGATGGCCGATTTCTGTTGAAAATTAGGCGAGCAAGTTTTCTATTACTATTTGCACTGCAAATCTGTACGAAATTTTGGATCCGCTTATTTCTCGTTTTGTCCCCCGTAAGAAAATTATTAATGTTGGGGATGAGATTTTCCTACCTTTACCCTTTCGTCGCAGATTGCGCAGGCTTTATCGTCGTTTCCACCTGCAGAACGATGTTTCTGTTCTGCCCAAGATTTGTGATATTTTTGATCGAGCTAAGAGATTGTCTGAAGAAAAACAGCTAGCCGAAGAGGTCCAGTTTACCGAAAACCATTCGTTAAGTGTCTCGAAACTTTTCTCTAGAAAAATACGAACTCAAAGAAAGACGTAGCATCCCATCCTCCGAGACGCTCTCGGAAATCCCATAGTTGATGCCCAGTTAACCGCTGATAGCTTCAATGATTTCCTGTCCAAAACGTTCATTGAAGACTCGACCACTCCGCTTCCGACCATCCAGTCATTGAGTGGGGCAGTTCTAGAAACTCTAACTTTCACTCTGTGGGATGTGACTGTTGCGCTACCATAAACCTATTCTATTATATTCGGCGTTTTCGTCAATCTTATAGTCCAGGCCCTGATGGTGTCCCTGTAAGCATTTTAAAAGCCGATGCAAACACGATCTTCCCATCCCTCTTATGCAAGATATTCAATCTTGCTCTTGAAACTGAAACCTATCCTACCTTGTGGATGGAATCACAGATACTGCCCATTCCTAAGCACGGCAAATCTACGTCATTTGATGACTTTCGGACAATAAACACCCTCCCCGCATTTTCGAAGATCTTAGAGACATTGATCAAAGATAAAATGATGCGTCACTTAACAGTGAATAACCTACTGAGTGCTGCTCAGCATGGATTCCTCAAAGCCCGATCTTGTGACACCTGTCAACTCTCTTTCTTTGACTATGTTCTCCAATCTAGGGACAATGGTTTTGCACTTTACACAGTATATTTCGATTTCACTAAGGCTTTTGATCGTGTTGACCATGCTCTTCTTCTCTTGAAACTACCCTCTTTCGGAATAGGTGGCAAACTTTTGAATTTTATATCTTCTTATTTGGGCACTCGTACACAACGAGTTAAGATTTCCAATACTATCTCCAACCCCACACGTGTGAGGAGTGGAGTCATTCAGGCTAGTGTACTCGGCCCGCTTTTATTTTGCCTTTTCGTTAATGATGTACCCGATTTATTTCAGAATGATAAGCCTTTCATGAACCACATGAACCGGCAAGTAATGAAGTTCTCCATCATGCTCGACTTCGACTGTAAACACCCCTCTAACCTCTACGTTCTGTCCAGTATAACTACGGAATGTTGAGGTAGCCGGAAGGAGGGAGGGTAATTTCTGAAGAGAGGCCTCATTGATGAGAGTAACAGCTGAGCCATTGTCGATTTCAAACTTCACGGGATGATGATCCACCGGAAGCGTGATGGTGTAGGGCGATTGGAGTAGCGCGTTGGCCGAAAACATTCAGAGTATCGCCTCGTCATCCCCAACTGGATTAGGGTAGGTTGCATGCGTGTTAGTATTCGCTCGTCTTTTGGAGAAACACACTCGTTCGATGTGGCCGACTTTCTTGCAAAACTGGCATACCGTCTTCTGGTGTCTACAGTCTGACCACCGGACATGATGCTGACCACAACGGTAGCAGGATGGTAATTGTTTTGAGGGAGCTGAGGGTCGCTGTCTAGGTGAAGACACAGCAGTGTTGACTAGGGAGACAGCCATTTCCGATTCCAAGGATGCTATCACTCCATCGTTTGACTGATTCAGCTGCTGAAGGTTTTGCCGCACGCGCTCCTGATGACTGGCAATATCACAGGCTTTTTCCCATGACAAATCCTCCTTCTCTGATAAGAGATTTTCCCGAGTTTTTTCATTGCGCAGACCGACGATAAACTGCTGAACGAACATTGCGTGCTCGAAGTTGTCTGCCTTGATCTCTTTATACCCACAGTCCTGGATGGCCAGAGTCAGATTAGTAATAGAGTCACTGACACATTGATTGGGTTCTTGACGCATTTGATAAAACCGACAGCGACTGATAAAGACGTTGTCTTTTCCTCCCCACGTTGACTCGAGTTTTTAGAAGGCTGTTTGGAGATCTGTAGCCTTTTTAAGATTGAGGACATCAAAATATCGTTGTCCCAACTCTCCGAGATTCGTCCGGAGGAGTTTCAAACTAGATGGGACGTCTAGTAAAATCGTGGGTGACAAAATCGGAGGTACTTCAATATAATCCTCAAATGTCTTCCTCCATTGCAACCACGAGTCATTTGAGGGCTCCTGGGTGTTCTTTGGCCAGAAAGGTAACGGTGAAGGCACCAATGAAGGCATGTTCGGTAGGCTGCGTCGCCAATGTTATGTATGCAAAAAAGCTTAACTGGAAATAGGACGTGTACTGAGTACGATAAAGAGCACAAGTGAGGAGGCTTGTAAGAACGGCCGGGTATATGGCTAGGGGGACTTTCATGGGCTGATGGGTGGCCAATCAGCACATAGGTGTGAACAGGGGGACAGGACCTTGACCGTTCGCTTGTCACGCGTTTGTGGCATGATGTCGTGACGACCCGAGCCGGATACGCTGCAGTCACAATCTCGCTTGGAAGCGAAAGCAGGAATATTATTTGGTTGACCATCAAGACTACTGGTTCCCCCAGTTCGAGGTCCTCACTGTGTACCGACCACCTGGGGCAGGCTAAATCACTGACACTCAAATATTGGAGCAGTTGGAGAAGTTTTCCAGTCTACCTAACATCATGATCATGGGCGACTTCAATGCACCTGGAACAAACTGGAATACCCTCCGAGTGTCAGGTCCAAAATCGGCATTCGATTACCGTCTGCTGAACAAAACATTAAGGGCGTCCCTCACACAACATGTAATGTTCCCAACGAGAACACGCGGAGGACAAAGGCCAAACTGCCTGGACCAAGTTTTTAATGAAAACACCAGATAGCACAGTAGAGGTCATCTCCATGCCGCCCCTTGGTCGAAGTGACCATGTGGTGCTTATGTGAGATTATTCGTTATCTTCAATATCGCATAATCCAGACCAAAAAAGACATGATGTTTGGCTAGGCGACTTCAGTGAGATGGGGCGGACTTATCCGGGCTCGACTGGGGCTCATTGTTTACGGGTAATGCCAGCGATGACTAGGAGCTTACGACTAGTGTAAGACTGCACAAACGCCCTGGGTGGCTAAATATCAACCTTAAGGAAGAAATCAACAGGAAGCACAAATTGTGGAGAAAATACTGCATTACTGGGCAAATTGAAAATTTCAGCACCTACATTTATTCTCGGTTTATATTTCAAAAGGATTCTTTCCTGAAACATGGAAACCGCCAATTATCATTCCCGTTTTCAAGTCAGGATCTCGGTCCGATGTTAATAACTATCGGGGCGTGCACAAAACGCCGTCTGTAGCCAAACGTCTTGAAAGGATTATTTTCAATGGAATTCTTGACTTCTGACTAGCTAATCGGCTTCTGAGCTCTAGTCAGCATGGGTTTTTACCTGAACGATCCTGCGAAACATGCCACTTGGCCTTTCTTAATCTAATCACTTCTC